TTCTGACTGGGGAGTTCGGTTTCGGAGAGGAGCTTCGGGATGCTGACGTGGCAGTTGGGAGAGAATGTGTCTTGGCCGGGCACTCGGGGGACGGGTATCCCTAGTGGATTCCTTAATAAGACGCATTTGAAAATGTGTCTTACGGAGGATCCTTGAGTCTGATTCTCCTAGTGGATCTGTTAGTTAAGACAGTAAGACAGTAAGACGCATTATTTGGGAAAGTCCCTGAAATCGGATGAACGATCTAGATCCGTCACGATCTCGAGAATCTCAAGAAACTTTCCCAAAAAATGCGTCTTACTGTCTTGTGTCTTGTGCAGATTTTGACTAGGTATTTGGCTAGGGCGAGATTCTTTGAGTAGCCCCTGCAAGACGCATTATTTATCGTGTCTTGTGGGGTTTCTTACTAGGGAGTTTGCTAGGACTTTCTCTCTCAGTTACTAAGACGAAGTAAGCTAGTAAGACGGAAACGACGGTGATGCATGTATCGCGAGAATCCAAGCGATCCGGAATCGAATGGCATGCATGCGGTTCTCATATCCAGAGAGGCGGACGGAAGATTGGGCGAATCAGAGAAATGTCCGAAACATTCACCATATCAGAATGCGTACGTGCACGCCAACAGGCAGGCGACGCGCGCCCGTCCGTCGTACTCGAAGGCCACGCAAGCATGGTCCAGGCTGTCCGGATCGAAGTCGCAGCTCATGGTGAGTTTCGCCACCGTGTACGAGTGCATCACGTCGTCGTCCTGCGGCTCCGCCAAGCCGGGGACGTCGCTGGTACAGACGTAGTCGCCGTTCTCCACCCGCGTGCCGGGCTCGCCGACGATCCAGCACGCGCCCTCTCCCAGGCTGTTGATCACGACCCGATCGTCGTTCGAGGCCTTGGCCACCACGACGTTCATCCCGCCGGCTCGGTAGACTCTCGACCTGGCTCCTCCGGATCCCGTCAGCAGCATGTCCTCGCATCCCGCGAAGACGCCGAAGCACCTTTTGTCCTTCCGTTCCATGCTCAGCTCCACCACCGGCAGGGCGCACGAGACCCTGATCCCGTCCGAACCCGTCCTCACCACGCCAGTCTTGTCTGGCACGGAGCTGATTCGACCCGTGCTGCACACGACGCAGCCGACCAGAGGGACCCCTTGCGGCGTGGTGCCTGCGACCACGAGGGACCGGAAGCTCTCTGTCACGGCCGTCCTATGCTGGCCCGTGAAGTCGAGGTTGGCTGCCAGATCGGCCTCGCTGTCGAAGTACACCACCGGCGACCCGTTCTTGCGCACAGACAGACCGTCCGAGTCGTCCACGTAGACCTGCCACGACGTCGCGTCCTTGTTGAACACGATCCCGTCGTCCACGGCGGTGGGGCTGCCGGGGCTGGACTGCTGGATCCGCAGCGCCCCGTTCACCGTCAGATAAGGGCAGGCGTTCGTGTCCAGGTTGCCCGTCAGCAGAGGCGCCCTCGTGCTGGTGGCCCCGAGCACGAAGCGGAAGGACGACGTCTCGCTGGCCCCGCTCTGATGCCCTATGAACACGCATCCCGACCCGGTGGCCCCCTTTCCGGCGCAATTTCCCAGGTAGATGGAATCGGTGCAGGCGGCACCGTACCCGCTCTGCTTGCCGACCGCCACGGTGGACGACACCGCGCGGGGGAGCGCGCCGTTCAGGGCATCTATGCCCACCGCGGTCAGGTCGGTACCCCTCGCCGTCGCGGCCGCCCTGTTCCCCAAGGCGACCGCGCCGCCCCCCGCCAGGCTCTTCCCGGAACCGTGTCCCAGCAGGGTGACCTCGTCCGTCAACTGCGCGTTCTGCGCGCTCGCGTGTCCTACCGCTAATACCGAGTCCTGAGTCGTCACCGCATACCCCGCTCGGCTCCCGATGGCCATGAAATCCGTCGCCGTCGTCAGATTGAATCCGCTGAATCGGCCGATGCTGAGACCGTTCACGACGGCCGATATGTTGTACATCGCCTGCGAGCCGATCACGACCAGACCCTCGCACAGCCTGGCGTCCTTGCCGTACGCGGCCTGATAGCCCATGATGCACGAGTTGTTCGTGTTCACCTGATACCCGCTGAAGGCACCCAGCGCGACGTTCTTCGCCGAAGAGCCCGTGTTCGCGAAGCTGTCCGCGCCCATCACGCAGTTGAACCAGCCGCTCGTGTTCTCGGAGAAGGCACGTGCCCCGATCGCGACCACCTGGCTGGCGGTCAGCGTGTGCTGGGCCACCGCGTTGCCGATCAGCACGTTGTCCGACGAATTGCTCGCCAGGAGGCCCGCATTCGCGCCAAGGATGACCGCCCCGGTAGTCGATCCTGTCGACTCGCTATTCGCCGCGTATCCAGCGATCAGGTTTGAGCTCCCAGTGTTACTCTTGGCGGCATTGAAGCCCAAAAATATGTTCTGAGTGCCACCCGCATCCACGCCCGTACCCTGCCCGACCGCGACTGAAGTGCCAGTCGAATCTGTGACGAAGGAGGACGACGAGGACGCGCCCAGACGGCCCGTGAATGGCAGGCTCGACATCTCTTCTACGGGACTTCCTCCGAATCGGAGCTAAGTTCTAGGATCCACATTAAAAATGCACATCGAGACGCATGCTCTCGCCCCCTCGCGACGGGCATAAGGAAGCGGCCATATCAACGACGGACCACCCTATCAAATCCCCCTTAAGGAGGACGTTTAGCAATGGAAGACGCAGGCAGTAAGCCTAAGCGTAGAATATGCATCCATGACGACTGTACTAATGGAGTGCAAGCGAAAGGCTTGTGCAAGAGGCATGGCGGCGGTCGCAGATGTCAACACCCAGGGTGCGGCAAGTCCTCCGTCAGCGCAGCCAACTTCTGTTCCAAGCACGGCGGAGGGCGACGATGTCAGGCCCCCGATTGCAACAAGGGCGCGATAGGGCGAACCATGTTGTGCAAGAGACACGGCGGGGGGGCTCGGTGTCAAAAGACAGGATGCAGTAAGGCTGCAATTGGACCGTCCGACTTTTGCACAACGCACGGAGGTGGTCGGCGGTGCCACGATGCCAAATGCAACAGGCTTGCACAAGGGTCTACAAACTTCTGCATCAAACACGGAGGCGGTCGGCGCTGTTTAGAGCCAGGATGTGATAAGTCGGCGGTAGGCACATCCAATATGTGTATCAATCATGGTGGCGGCAGGAGGTGTGCGGGAGTCGACTGCCATAAGTCCGCGCAGGGAGGAACGTCTTTTTGTAAGCAACATGGTGGTGGCAGGCGGTGCCAAGAGAGCGGCTGCAGCACTTCTGCGCTCAGTGGATCCTTACTTTGTACCAGACACGGGGGCGGCCGGCGGTGTGAGGAGGCCGGATGCGCGAGTGGCGCTGTAAAACCGACATGATTCTGCAGATTGCACGGAGGTGGTAGGCGATGCAAGGAAACGGGATGCGATAAGGGCGCAGAAGGGCCAACGGATCGTTGCATCAAGCACGGCGGCGGCAAGCGGTGCGAGGAGGCCGGATGCGAGACAGCTGCCCGAGGATCAACCTTCTGCAAGAAGCACGGGGGCGGCCGTCGTTGCTGTGTATGCTCTGAGGTCTCCGTGCATTTTGAAGGCGCCGCCTGCTACACGTGCCGGTCCGGTACCTCGCTCAAACAGTGGGAGGTATACACGACCAGGTGGTTGACGCAGCTGGGCTGGGTATGGTCTTACTGCGATCAGCAACTCCCTTGCGCCCGGAACCTGGCAAAGCAAAGCACTTCGTGCATCACACGCCCCGACTACGTCTTCGTGTTCCAGACACACGTCGTCATCCTGGAGGTTGACGAGTCCTACCATCGTTACTACGCCGTCGAGTGCGAGGCCGACCGCATTGGGAAGATCAAGGATGTTTTAAAGGTGCCGCTTCATCTTGTGCGCTTCAATCCTGCGAAGGACGCTACAATCTACTCGAGAACATTCTTCGAACCCTATTTCTTGATTACAAGAGCGCGCAGAATGAGGCCGGGGTACTGCTTCATTTCATAGGCTATCCGGAGGAAAGGATCTTGGAATTGGAGGACGAGTCAGAGTTCTGCTACCAATATAGAAAGATAGCATGTAGGAGTGTACATCCAGCAAAGGCGTAGTTGATGCTTTGTAATCTAAACATTACGCTTGCCGAACCATGTATGCCGTCTCTTGCTGAGGCGCCTAGCCATGTCTTTCATGCGAACGATGTATGTGAGAGCTGAATGTTCTCAGACAACCAATGACCCACATGGAAATTCAGTTGTTTCAACAAGAAGATTTGCGTTCTGATCTGACAAATAAATCTGCAATCAGTCTACCTGAGTATGCCTAGCCTCTACGAGAGCCCCCTCTATCGAGCGACCTGTGCCGAATTCGTGGGCAGCGGCCTCTTCCTGTTCACCGTGATCACCACCGTCGTCAACTACCCCGCCGATCAAGCCCTGGGCGTCGCGAACCTACTCGCCCCGATCGGAGTGGCCACCGTGTTCGGCGTCACCATCAGCACTCTCGCGTACACCTTCGGAGACGTGAGCGGAGCGCATCTGAATCCGGCGGTTACTTTAGGCTTCCTCGTCCGCAAGAGCATCTCGCCTGTTCGTGCGGCGCTGTACGGCACCGCTCAGTTCCTCGGAGCCACGTGCGGAGCGTGCCTCGCCCGTCTCGTCAGTGATTGGGACCTCTACGACGCGGGCGGCAGGGGCGTCAACTACGTGACGCACGGGCACGCCCTCTGGCAGGCCCTCATCGCCGAGATCGTCGCCACGGCCTTCCTCGTCACCGTCGTCCTGCACGTATCATACCTGGCCACCAAGCAATACGGGCACGGGCCTCTCGCCATCGGCGGCGCGGTCCTCGTCTGCCACCTCGCGCTCATCCCCATCACCGGAACGTCTATCAATCCGGCGAGGTCCATCGGTGCCGCCGTCGCGTCGGGGAGCAACGCCCGCCACCAATGGTCCGAGATCTGGGTCTTTCTGGCGGGGCCGCTCATCGGGGGCTCCCTGGCCGGCCTGAACCCTCTGTGGGGCGACGGACCCAGGAGCGATGCCGAGATCCCCCAACCCACCCCCGCCCCGGGCCTCGCAGCCTGAGGCACGCCCGTACTTTCCGCCCCTCATATATCAGATACATTCAGATACCACCCCAGTATGGTCACGTTGACGTTTTTCGACATAGACGAGAGTAGGATCCGCGAGTTTCAACATGCCCTAGCGAATTCCCTAATCAAAAACCCCACAAGACACGAGACAGCACTTTCTCTGTTCGGCAAAGCTCCTTGCTTTCTGCAGGTAGGATGATAATCAGCATGAAGAAATCAAAGGCTTTAGTGAAGAATCTCTGCATGCGCGCCTATCAGACATAAGAATTTTGCGCGTTGGGTAAGTGGTTGACATCTGCTAAGAAGAGAGTGGAACCTGAGAAGGCAATAGTTTTTGCGCGAGACTCTTACATTTCTGGGCTCATGGAAGACCGCATGGAAGACCTGGGAATCCAGGAGATGCTAGAAGCAGAAAGTGAGTGACTCGCCGGACTCAAAACTCTCTTTCAAGGGAAGGCTGTCAGCTAGCACAGGCAGAACCTTACAGCACTTTACTTGGGGGCTTAACACACTTGTCGTATCAACAAATACCTGATTCCTTTGACATGCTCTTGTTAGGCTCTTGAGGGACGCCAAGTTGGTGGGTCTCCGGACCTGGGTTGGGTGTGTCCGCTTCAGGAAGGAAAGTGGCAGGCACACTGCTGTTGCAATGGTAAGTACTCAAATCGGGCTCCGTGGGTTGGTGCTTTGGTGTTTGTTTTTGGTCTCTGTTCTAAAACGCACTGTGCGGCAGCTGCGCTGTGGATATTATCATTGGTCATCAAAAGTTGCAGCCCTTGGCAAAATGCTCGACATTGCTTTTCTTTTGCAGGATGCTGAGGACCTATTCGACCCCATTGCTGGTCTGAATGATCCGGGTGTGATGGCATCGTTCGGTACTGCTCTCCGTTTCACCCGCGAGCATTTGGTGGATGCTCTGCGAGAGGCGCAGCAGGGGGGGGACCACTTGTTAATGTGCTACCACTTTCAAGTCGGCACGTCCCTACTGATGGCACTATTTGATGGGTTGGCGGTGTTTGTGGAGAAGAAGATTGCTCAGCCGGCAACTGCGGGGCGTATCTATTGGGCTAGAGATGGCACCTTTCTTGATCCGCGCTTTGCAGAGCTAAGAGACATCAAGAATAGGACCCGTAACCGTTCCGTAAGTGGCGGGATCGATGCCAACTCGTTGCGTAACTTCAGCAAACACTATCTGCCGTGGATCCCGCTCTCTGCATGGGCACCAGAAGGATGGGACATCCGCTTCCCAGTCACATCGACTAACAAATCAGGCCCTATACTGAGAGGTCTTCTGTTTCCACTGTTTGACGATGCACGAGAGGCCTGTGCATCTCTGAGAAGGCTTTTACTGCAGAGAGATACAGAGCTGGTTGAACCACTGAGTTAAACATCAGCAGTCGCGCGAGACCTGTGAAAGAAAAGAGACCACGAACCCAGGTGTTTCAGGATGACAAGCAGTTGAGGGTGTCTTATAAGAAGTTGCAGATTAAGGACGGCTTTTCGCAAGAAAGTGTAATGATAGGTTTTGTGACCTTATATTGCCGGTGCTCAGATATACCATTGATTCTGAGATTTTGCAACGCGTTGCATTATTTGTGCGTCAGCATCTCATACGAACTGGGCCTGATGACATGAAGGAGAGGCGTGTGAATGTCTGGAACGACCATTTGGACTCTACTGGCATTTGAGTACGACGATCGGGCTACGTTTGATCTTTACAGGATGTCGCCATCATGCGGATGTGCCGCTGCTGTGGAGCGATGTAGTAGAACATAGATATCTCTTGATGCAGAACCGCCAGACATCCGTCGAGAGCCATCAACGCCTGCCGATGTTCATGTCCTACAATGGCGGAGTACATCTCATGGCATGATGATTTGGTCCGGGGTGGTAGTATGTGAGAAAGAATATGGCTTGTCGGCAGCCGGTTCCGTGTGTGAACACCGAAGTGCAGCAGTCAACTCTAGATTTTTGGCCATCTCGAAGCAACTGACCACGGCCTAAGTCGCCACTTCGGTGGACTCCAGATACGTGCCATCGGCGGACTCCGTATCACGCCGGAGTCCGGATAGCATAACTCCTATATCCGTCGTCGGTGATGTGAGACACGGTCAGACCGTGGGTCTCGCAGAACTCATCTACGGCACGTCTGACGCCAAAAGTGTATTTGTACGGGCATCTCTCGGGATTGACGTCATAGTCGTGGCCCGTGATCCAGCCACCCTTCCGCACCCTGGAGAGGGCCGCGCGGAGGTCCTTTCTCACGGCGGCCTTCATAGGTGTTCGTGTTATCTTTGCCACTTGAATCCACCTGCCATTTTGCCTACTTTAATCGCATATATCAGCACTTTCTCCGTCAGATTGTTATCTTTTGCGGCCTCCCGGATTGTTCCATATGTCTTCAGGATATTCCATGCAGTGTCGTACTTATGGACCTGCTTACTAGACTTTCTGTTCCGCGCCTGTTCTTCCGGAGTGGCCCATCATAGGTTCTTGAGTCTATTATCTGCTCTTTCTCGGTTGATATGATCTACGGTATGCTTCGAGGTCGGTGGAGGCCCCAGAAATGAGTGAGCCACTATTGCGTGTACACCTATCAACCCTCGCTTCTTAACTTGTATCACCTTCCGCCGTCCTCTCGAAACGTAGCCCTCGGTGCGTCGTCCATTTTGTAGCTGGACCCGGCCAACCGAGCTGACTTTCCAACCATCGAGAGGTGTTCCATCCACGATTGCGTCAACCCAGACCTCATCCTCTCTGTCGTCCTGATCTATCAGATGCGCTGGGCATATGCTGAAGACATATCCCCCAACTGCCTTGCTTGAACGCTGTCGAATGCGTCTCTTGATAGCCTGGACGTTTAGATCCAGAGCAGCTGCTGCATCATGCATTGAGTTGTAGCGCGTTGTTTCGCCATCGGTAACATGGGCTGCCAACACCGGGACGCAAGTATCCTTCTGTTTTCTGTTCGCATTACCCGCGTGAGTTTTCCGCATATGCTCTGCCGGCGTCATCTCTTGAAGGTTCGCCCAACTGTCGTCCTCGGCTTGCCGTTCGGAGCTGTTTGCCTCCTTTTGCGAAGGTACAATGTGGTCTATATGCATGCCTGGAGCGATCGCACGTCCCGTAGCAATCTCAAAGTTGAGGCGGTGTCTGTTGATATTTTTGCCATCAACATCTACCTTGATATAACCATTGCGCTTTGTTCCGGTCAGATACCGCCCACTTGCGCAGCTCCAGACCCTGCCGTCAGGAAGTCCGTATATATGACGGTACTTGAAATGTCGCTTCCAGCCCATCTCTGTTCCCGCTGGTGCGCAAGTTTTGGTATGAGCACGGAAATGTCGTCTAAGGCCTGATTCAGCTTTATAAGCCTTCGCGCAGCCGGAGAAGCGACACGGCAGCAGTTTCACCTCTTTAGCGACTGCGGCGTCCATCCTCGAAGATGACATAATGTGAGAATATACAATTTCCGAACTGGTAAAACGCAAAGACAAGCCCCCCTTGAACTTCCAACTAAAGCTGTTAGATTTCAGGATTTGTGCTTCCTTAAGCGAGCATCAGTAGCCTCATCATACAAGCGTGTTGCAATGCTTTGCTACTGGCTCGACTCCGTACTCAGGAGTCTGGATGGCATAACTCCTGTAACCATCGTCGGTGATGTGAGACACGGTCAGACTGTGGGTCTCGCAGAACTCATCTACGGCCCTTCTGACCCCGAAGGTATATTCGTACGGACATCTCTCGGGATTGACGTCATAATCGTGCCCCGTGATCCAGCCACCCTTGCGCACCCTGGAGAGGGCCGCGCGGAGATCCTTCTTGACGCCATCATAGGTGTGAAGACCATCCAGAAACACGAGGTCGAGATAACCATGATCGAAACGCAAAAACGCTCCGGGCGATGCGCCCCGGTGCACGCGAAACCTAGCGTCTCCTCGGAACCTATTGCAGACGTAATGGTACGCGTCGTCTCCATCGCAAACGCGGATATTTACACCGTCTCGGTCTCCCGAACACAACCTGCCCTCGAACGGGTCTATCAGATGCAACTCCGCGGGTTCCAGCGTCGTCAGAAACTCCGAGAAGTCTCCGACGAAGACTCCGACCTCCGCCATCTTCCAACCACTCTCGCTCACTATGCTCCGCATCATATCCTCTCTCGTATCGTGCACCCGCATCTGTCCGATCCTACGCCGAGACTCCGATTATATTCTGACCCTCCCGAACGCCTCCCGCTCAGCCCACCACCCCCGACGCGATCCGCAGATCCCGCACCACCCGCTGAGCGTCCGCCACGAAGTCATCCTTCCGGGTCAGCACGTACGCCAGTTGCAGGTGAGAGACCATGATGCGTTCCAGGGGCCTGAGATAGAGCGGCGCGTTCACCGTGCCCCTGCTGACCAGGAACGAGAACGTCCGGTGCCGACGGATGCGCTTCTCGAAGCCTCGGATGCCCCCCCGGCCCGTGTCCACGAACTCTTTCGCGTAGGGGTACACCACGTTCATGGTGAGGTAGTCCTCCGCGATCCCCTTGGTGGACACGACGTCCCAGACGGAGTGCCAGCGCTCCTTCCGAACCCGTGCCTTGGCGTCGTCCTGGATACGAGGGCGCACATCTTGTCCGCCAGTCGGCCTCTCCCGTGGCGCAGCATCGCCGCCGCCAGCACCTCCTCGAACTTGTAGAAGCGCGGCCCGTTCCAGCCCCTGGACGGCCGCACCATGTACTGCTGCAGCATATTCAGGTCCTTGGAGTTCAGGAAGTAGGCCCGCCTGGCCAGGGCGACGGGCACCAACGCCGTCCGCCGGGTCCAGTCCGAGAGCTCCTGCTCCCAGCCGAAGGAGATCATCGGCTTCTCGTTCCAATGCAGCTCGACGTTCGGCTCGCGGCGCGGGCGGTCCCGCAAGTGGTAGCGACAGGCCTCCTTCGGGTCGGGGTACATTTCCATCGGATCGTGTAGGATCGGGAGGGCCTTCCGCTTCTCTGGCGCCGCCCCTTCCCGACTCCGCGCGTACGCATCCCGCCTTGCCGGCCACACCGAACGCACGGCCGCCTCGAACGAGTTGGACGCGCAGGCCAGCGCGCTCAACGCCGTGGCGTCGATGTCCGAGTGGTTGTCCAGCAGCTCCACTAGCACGGAGGCGTCCATGCCCCGCATAGGAGCCGGCTCTCGCCGTCCCTCCATGAAAATTCGTGGGAGCTTGTACGAACGATGAGCCTGCCTCCGACGGAGTGGGTCGCCGAGCGCAGGTGGGGGAAGAAGCTGTACGCGAACGCCGTCTCCAACAGGATAGAATGGCTGCAGCGGGTGGCGGCGAGGAAGGCCCTGGCGACGGCTTACGTCAGGTACGCCGACGAGAATGACGACAAGGCGGACGAGATGGGCGACTACGTCCTGGAGGAACGCTTCGATGGAGGCTCCGGAGACGATCCTCGAGGGAAGAACCTGGGAATGATCTGCATCGGCGTAGGCTCCCTCGGGCTGCTCCTGATCCTGCTCTCCTTCCTGCGGTGACGCCCCTCCCCTTCCTTATGTGACACCAAAGGCCGCCCGACGCATCCGCGCGACGACGTCAATCGCATGCTCGATGAGTGCCTCGTCCTCCGTCATCACAGACGCGATCTGCAAGCGCTCGATCGCATTCCGCTCGAGCGGCCCCAGATCCGGCGGAAACAGCGGCCCACGGAGTTCGAACGGAGTAGCGCGCGTATGGACTCGGGACGAGAACATGATTTGCATGATGAGCCGATTCCTCAAGCCGCGGATGCCACCCCGCCCCGCCCGGACGTAGTCCTCGGCGTACGTGCGCACGACGCTCGTACTGATTTCACCCGGCAACAGGAGGCGGTCGGACAAGGACCACACCGCCCTCCAACGTTCCCCCTGTCGCCGGTGGGTGCGTCCGCGCTTGGTCGCGCGGGCGACCATCATGTCCGCCAGCCGTCTCCTGCCGTGACGGAGCATCGCCGCGCTCAGGACGTCTTCGAACCGAAACCAGCGCGGCCCCTTCCCGTCCCTGAACGGTCGGAGCAACCTCAGGTCCGCCGTGTCCAGGAAGTAATCCCGCTTGGCCAGCTCGCCCGGCATCAATGCGTTGCGGCGAGTCCTCTCCGATTCATCGGAATCCATCTCCAGCACGACGAGGGGCTTTCCCTCTGCCCGCTCGAGCAGCTCGTACGTGCACGCAGTCTTCGCGTCCGGAAACAGGCGGACGTCGTGGTCCATCGGGAGCGGGAGGGACTCCCCCCTCGGCACGTTCGCCCCGTTTCTACTCTCCTCGTACGCTCGCTCCCTGTCCGGCCAGACCAGGGACACGGCCGCCTCGAAGGACTTTGACGTGCAGGCCAGCGCGCTCAACGTCGTGGCATCGATGTTCGAATGGACGTCCAGGAGTTCCACCAGGAGGGGGGCGTTCAGGGCGTCCATGTCCGCCGCTTGCCCCCGAAGCGCCGCCCGGCCCTCTCTTATATGTGCGAGAGCTCGAGGCGCTCCGAGAGCACGTCGTAGCCCTCCGCCACCACCACCAGCCGGTAGCCCCGCAGCGTCACCGACGGGTCCACGTACTTGAGGTTCAGCATGACCGTGAACCCGGACAGGTCCAGGGCGCCGTTGGGCTGCCGCACCAGCTCCGGCGGGGTGGCCGGGTCGGGCCCCAGCGGGTACAGGATCGGCCCCGTCCGCCCCGCCAGGTCGCCCACTGCTTCCAGCCCGTCGGAGGCATCCAGGGCGAACGCGAAGGAGTAGTACCCCCGTCGCGGCATGCCGCCGTGGAACAACGGGTTCAGGAGCCTGAAGTAGCTCTCGTCCCTGAGCCCGTCCGGGGAGGACCGTTGCGTGTAGCTCACGCCGTTCAGCGAGATGCCGCACGCCCGGATCGCCGAATCGACGACGTCCCCCCTCGCGTCCTCCAAGAACCAGCCGATCCGCCTCACCGGCTGGTTGAAGTTCAGATGCACGGACTGCGACGAGAGGGCGTCCGCCTTGACGGGCTCCACCTGGGACAGCATCTGCGTGATCAGCTGCGGGCTGCCGGGATCCCCGGACGCGTAGGAGTCGAAGACGACCTTGGTGGAGGTCGGGACGATCTCGGGCGGCGCCCCGCTCCCCGCCTCGGTGCAGGCGTCCGGCGACGCGAGGGTCACCTCGAGCACGACGTCGTTCCCGCGCACCGGCAGCTTCTCCCCGACCGCGCTCCTGCCGAAGAAGAAGGGGAGGGGGACCAGGACGAGCACCTCGGCCCCCACGGTTGTCGCCGAGAACAGCGCCGCGCGGGCCCGGGCGTCCGTGCGCAACTTGGGGTCCACCGTCTCGAAGTACCACCGCATGGCCGCCCCGCTCAGGCGCTCCAGCTCCCGCCCGGACGACGTCAGCCTCGCCGTCTCGACGATGAAGGCGCCGAGACGGGGACGGTACCGGATGGGGGCCCCGCTCGCCGGGTCCGCGAGAGGGAGGCGTATCTCCAGGTGCATCATGCCCACGTGCGACCCGGACTTGCGGAGGGCGCACGCGGAAGCCAGGCCCGTCGTGGCGCGCGAGGCGGGCAGCGGCTGACTCTCGAAGAGGCACTCCATGACCGTCGCCGAGAAGGGCCTGTGATCCGCCGGCTTGGCGGGGCCGAAGAGCGTCGCCTGCGGGTCTATCCAGAGGTGTCTATCCTCGAGGCCGGCGAGCCGCAGCTGCAGGAGCGTGCCGGTGCTGGGACCCGCCGAAGCCATGGCACCCGATACCGTAAGCGCCGCGCAATGTTCGGAGCCGGACGCGCCTCCCTCCCTACGGGATCTGCACGAGCTTCTCGAGGTAGGGCTTGTACTGCTTGTAAGTCGGGCGCGGGCGGCTCATCATCGCCCTCCGCTTCTCCACCACCTCCACGGCGAGCCCCCGGGCGTGCGCGTAGTCCTTCAGGACCTTCAGCGGGACGTCCTCCGCGTCCAGCTCGTGCAGGGAGACCTGCGTGACCCCTCCGTCATCCTCCCGATGCTCCTCCCCCTTCGACGCATCCAGGCGGCTGGGAAGCTCGCTCACCGAGGGCCACCGTCCTTCCGCATCTCGAAACTCGTGGATCTCGCGCAGGGTCTGCTCCGCGTCGGCCCGCTCGGAGAAGGCCAGCAGATGAGTCTGAGGGCCGCCGGCCCCGGTGCCGGGCACCCCCACGAACGCCGTCTCGTCGCGCAGCACGTACACCCGGCGGTTATTCGCACGCGAGGAGGGACGCAGCCCGCATGCGATCGGCGCGGAGAAGCACGCGCGCACCGTGAGGGCCATCCCGTCGAGCGTGCCTCCGGGGACCCCCGGGTGCTTCCTTATGCGGGGTCGCGGTGGGACGCGACTATGAGGGACATTTATCTCCGGGTAGATGTAGTCATGGCGCCGCCGCACTGGGCGAATCGAGCAAACAAATTGCACCATCGGTTCGAGGTGCCCGGAGTACAGCAGAAGAGAGTGGGAGAGTTGTGGATGGATAATGCTGTGCGTCTGAGCGAGAAGTTGACGGAAATCATCCCGCCCGGCAACGGGGCTCCCTCCAATCTCGCTCATCGTCTATTCCACGCGATCAGCATGGCGAACAAGGAACGGCGCGAAGCCGCCGAGGCCGCGGCATCCGTTGAGGAAACCACGAAGGCGCTCGTCCGATTGCTCGGGGCTCTTGTCGGGTTCTCGGGCGGGCTGAAGGAGGCGCTGCGAGCCCTGTCGAACGGACCCCTCACGCCCGAGGTCGTGGACCTCCGACGAAAGTACGAAGAAGCGAGGACCGCCATCAAAGACCCCCAGGGATTCGACCTCGACGGATTCCGGGACCAGCTGTCGTCGGCGTTCCGGGCTGACGACGAGATGGAGCTCAACGAGGAGAGCGCCAGGTGCCACGATGAACTGGATTCGTGCAAGATCGCGCTCGGGTACCTCACGGACCTCTTCAATGTCGTGACCGAGTGGCCTAGGGGAGCGTGCGACGCGCTGCGAGTCCTGGCAAACAGCGCGCAGAACAGGCCCGACGCGGTCGGCCTCGTCACCGTCTACCGCACCGCGAACGAAGCCCTCGCGAAGCTCGCCGAAGGGCATCGGGTCGATCTGGGCGCCTTCCTGCGGACGATGTGGGCGGTATGCCCGCAGCAACCCCAGGCGCAAGACGCCGGAACGATGTTGACGGATCTGATCGACGGCGACCTCGCCGGCCTTCCCGAGCGCGCCCGAGGGCTATTGGAACGCGTGTGCCGGCCGGGACAGCACGATCAGCGGGTCACAAAAACGTGTGACTTCCTCAAGAAGATCATCGACACCGACCACGTGATCGCGGCGTTGATTGGAGGCACCGGGGCGAACGCGTACGCCGATCGGCCGGCCCACGTCCGTGCGGACGTCCTGATGACCGGCCTCGACTCGCTCCTCGATAGAAAGGATCTCTCCCCGGAGGCGAGCAGCCTCGTCGCGTCGGTCGGAGCGGTCGCGAGGCAGCGGGAGCGTTACCGCCTCGTCGCCCTGGCCACGCCGGACGGGCCGGAGGCCCTCATGGCGACCCTCGAGCCTCGAGAGGCATTGAATACGGATCTCGGTGCAGATGGCGCGGCGGCTCTCAATTTGGTGGTCGGACATCTGCGGTCGAGCGCTCCGTTGCACAGGTCCGTCCGTAAGGTGTTCGAAGATACTCAGCAGGCGATGGAGCGCTCATCGAACACCGATCCCGCCCGGAAGGACCTCAAGGCGTTCTGTGAGAGCGTAGAGGCGGTGACCGCAGAGATTGAAGCCGCGCGTACCCCTCACGACGACTTACTGAGTTGGTTCTATGTGCGCACCCGGCAAGCGTGTCGGTTCTACCGGTTGGCCGACATTGTCTGCAATCCTGGTTCCTTACTCATAGGGGAGGACTCGGCCGCGCGCACTGAACAAGTCAGCCAAACTCGTGCGGTTCTCCAGGAAAAGGACCCATACGTCCGCGAGTGGTTCGACGAGATCACGAACAAGCTCGCGCCGCTGCACGACGGCATCCGGACCAAGGATCAGCTCGTGAGCGCCATCGGCCTCCTCACGGGCCCCGCTCCGGCCCCGTCCGAAGCCCACCAGCGGGTCCAGCGCCTGCGGGAGGGATTAACGCGGTCCGCCCAGCTGAAACTCGCTTCGAACGCCGCACGCGGGACGGGCCTTGACGCCCTCCTGGCATCCATCCGTGCTCTGGACGAGCAATGCCGCCTGTACACGGAAGGCGTCATCAAGCTTCCCTCCGCGGGGCCCGAGGCCCTCCTGAACGACGCCAAGGCCAGAGAAAACTTGTTCAGAGGACTGCTGGGCGACGAGGAGTACGATGCGTTCGTCGGCGCTTACGATAAGCTGATGCGCGTGCCCCCACCGACGGGACCTCCTCCGCCTGCGGCCCCCGACGGCGTCAGCGCCCAGGAAGACGTCGAATTGGGCGTCGAGATGCACACTACGGCGTGGACATCCAAGGCACGAGAGCGAATCGACGGGAACATCGCACGAGTTCTGCCCATGACGGCACAGCTCTTCCGGAATTGGGCACGCGCGGCGGACGAGGAGAGGAGCGGTCTGTACGAGCTGTTCGATTCCTCGGGTGCACCCGACCCCACCGCGGCCCACAGAATCCTACTGACCGCACCGGGAAGTCGCGAGCGGCTATCGAAGCTACTTCGGCAATTCCGCACCTGGTCCGAGGACTTCCACCGAAAGTTGGCCACCGCCCGTTCCCGGCTGGTCCCGGACGACGGCGCCTCCGCGCGTCTCGATTGGAGTGGACTCGCCTCTGAGATCGTCGAAGCGATCGACACCAACGCGAAACGTCTCCGACGCGCCACGTTAGTCGCCGCCACGACGCTCCCGCAGCTCGTAGAGGCGGTCGAGAGAGGCGAGGAAGCGAACAGGCGGGTCGTCGCCCTCGTCTGCGCGAACGTGCCGGCACCGGCCGCGGTCGGCCCTCAGGACGCGATTCGACGGATGGAGCACCTCTACGCCGGAACCGGGCTGAAATCGATCGACGAGATCGTGCACGATCACGGGAAGCTGGTCGAGGGCATAGATGAGATCTTGAGAAATTTGGGGACCTACGGCTTCGATAAGACCAGCTGCT